TCCATGTTTATGTACCTAAATAGAGAGAAGATATATATAGAATAGAGAGATATCATTCGTCTTAAAACATCAAGAAATATTTTCTATTTCGATTGACCCTAAATTATAAGTAAAATCAAGGTTGTTGATTTTCTTGGAATTGAGTTTTTTTTTTATTTAAAGACCGATCAGCTTCGGTTTTCGTTCGTCTCGTCACATCAAACCTAAGATGTAAACATTGGTAATTACTGTTTCTTTGTCAAGCGATTTGCATATCGCATAAGAAGAGAAAACTAAAAGTCTTTTGGATGAGACCTTAAAACCCTGAAAAGCCGCGGTCCCGTACCACGAAATACAGGAAGAAACAAGACCCTTCAGTTAAAAGGCGGTTTTTAGTGACTTTTCATTGGCCATTTAGTCACTGAATGGCAGGTACATTTCATTGACAATTCAGATACCTTTCAGTCACAAAATTTGAGACCTATTTAAACAATCACATTTATCTTCATTTATTAGATATTGAATATTTCTAAAAAAAAAAATTCGTGTGATTATAATAAACATTAAAACAAATTCCTTAGTATTGGTTTAAAATCATTGATAGCATCATTTACAAATATGATACATGTAATTGAACCTTCTTAAATAAACAATATTCATTTTAAAAAAAATGAAATCTGAAGGTAATGAACAGTAATCACGCTCAAAAAACCATTACAGCAAAACTTATTTAGTACAAAGCAAAGATGAACCTCTAAAAATATCAGAGGTGAGATCAAGTGTCATTGTTGTGTTAAAAGCACTTAAAATCTTTTTAAAACTCGATCATTGGTTCTGTAGATATTCTACATTCGTGAGAGCGTTTATGTAAATTTTATTACATTTTGACTAATTTTCAACAAGAAATGTAGTTTTAAAAAAATTACATGAAAATTAGTTTTAATTCTTGAAGTAGCTATCCCTTCCCTATTCATCCCTGGGTGTCATTAAAGTGAACGAAATTGTTGTATGATGATTAAGCTTCAATTTCTATCAGGTTGATAATTTTTATGTGAAAATTTCGAACAATGACCAATGTCATTAGTTAATGTTAGTAAAAAATCATGCGAAGGGCATAATACTCTAAATGCTAAATTGACAGACATACATATGACAATCAGATGATAAATCTTAAGAGTCAATGCACCCGCCATATTCACACGTACCAGTACTAATTAATATATTAATTCTAAATTTCATGTGACTATCAAAAATATACTGAATGGTAAAAGAAACGCAGGGTAGGATACTATTCAATCTTTTCTTTTTTACCAAAATTTACGAGAATTGGTTAGATGAGAAGGTTAGTTACTATGCACCAAAGTCAGTATTTAGATTTACTCAAGCGACATGTTTTCTAACAAATCTTATTGCACCATTTGATACTGTCATGTTAATGACCAAGCTTATGGGATGTTGATCCAAACTGCTCTTCTAATTGATTAATTTACAACAAAATTTTCTTTAAATTTTAAACATTTGTCAGTGTTCAGCTGGGCGATGACGCGCACGGGTGTCCTTTATACGGATACAATTGGTCTCCGGACTGGTTTGGAAATCCTTCCTCCTGTCCTACTGTCGTGGAGGCCTACACACACATACACACACAATGCAAAGGTAAACGTCTTGCGCTCAAGACTTCGGATGTGGCCGTGTCTGGTACGGGGACATCTACACACACAGGATGAGGACCTGTTAATTACGCATGCACAATATAATGTCAAGGTAGACATAAACTTTACACATTGTAAGTTAAAGCTGTGCATACACATGTACATATGGCGTACAAATAGCATTAAGATGCTTAACTACAGTATTATACCTTTACTTTACACTTTGTTACAAATATAACAGAACAATAAACATACTAAAAGACACGAACGGGACACCGTACAATCCTTACTCGAACACTTTTGACGAACAGTACATATAAATAACGTATAAAGAAATATAAAAGATAATAAATCTCAAATAGCAAAACAATTAAGGCTGACTTTGTTGAGAAATTCCGAAACTGGTTGTTTTAAGATATTTACAGTATTTACATTTCAATGACCAATAAAAACAAGGCTTACCTCAGAAAAGTAGGACATTACATATTGACAATAGCAGCTAAACTATGGTGAAGTCTGCCATGACTATTTTATTGCACAAAATGTACCAAGATCTAGAGAAGTATAGGAACGTCCTTCTCTATCAGGACTGCCGTGTCCAACTGCCGCACGGACTCAAACTTACTTTCAAGGTTCAGTGATCTGAGGCTTAAAAAGGGTTAAATATGTACATAGTGAAAAACGGAGGCTCACCACAGGGTAATAGAATTTTGCCTGCGTGTTCAAATGTAGCAATTCAAATAAATTTAGATTTTAATGTGACAGATACAACTGACGTATATACATTTTTTTTCAATATTTACAAAATATGAATTTCTTGCAATCTTGGTACAGTTAACGGAAGTTCAATGGGGTCTGGTTTTCGAATTGCATCAGTAAAGACACAGCCAACAACGGGTTACTGAGCAGTTTCTTGTAAATTTTTCCCAACAGAACGTGTTGCCTGTTGTCAGAGAGGGCCTGGAATGGTTTTCAATCAATCGTGACGATGACGTTTACGCGAAACAGAGTCACGTTATGATCAGGGTATTCGTCCTACCACCTGCCACCGCACTACCACAAACACCGCTATTAATACAGTAGACTATCATAGTCATTACACTAAAACCAAAACTGAAAGAAACCAATTGCGCAAATTGGGTTTTTGAGCCGGTCAAATTTGCATTCGTGTTCCTGTCACTGGCGCATGCGCGCGTTGTTTAACTAATTTTTCAACTCGTATACCCATGCTCAAAATAGTAAGGGTTTGAAAGCTTAACACTTTGATTAATTCCATGCAAAGGAGAATCAAGGCCGTGAGAGATGCTCGGCGAGACATTGAAGATAATGAGAGTTTCCGATTTTCAGTGTCCGATTTTCACTTTTGGGGGGATCGTGATATGAGTTTCAATAATCAATTTGAATTTCGGTTAAATTTTCTTTAAAGGTGGTTTTAAAAGTTAGATAGGAATACTGAAAAAAAGAAAAACAAATATAATTTGCATCATAGGTTTACCCTGCGCTTCTTTTTCCTTTCAGTATAAAAAAACACTGATACACAGATCATCTAAATAACTACCCCATCCCGTACATACACGCTCGCACACACATTTGTTATTTGCAACACTAATGATTTGAATATCCACTGATGTTATCGGCTATATAATAAAATCAGACCTAAGGTAAGAATGAGAAGATGCTTTCAGGGGGGGGGGGAGGGGGGTTATTTTCTCTTTATTTCTTTTCTTCATCCACTACTCATTTGAAAATAAATCTCATCAAGACTTACCAGAGAGTATGTTATTACATTTTGCATGGTTGTATTTTACCTAATCTCGATGTATAATGTAGCAAAGCGAAATGTAATAATACTAAATTTCTGGATTACATTTTATATTATATAACGTTAAATGTAATCATCTGATAAAGTTTGTTTTTTACATTTTGCGTTTGATCTCGACACAATATGTTATAACGCAAAATGCAATAATCCTTGTATAATACATTTTGTGTTCTTTTTACATGTTGCGTTGTTACAATGCTAGTTTTGAATACAGCAAATGTAATTTTCTTGTATTATATAGAGTAAGCGTTGGTTTCAATTATTTCAGCATGAAATCTTACCTTTAAGGTCACCGATTCACACAGGTGACCTATTGCTATCCGTTTTTGTCTTTCGTTGTGCTTTAACCTTTGAATATTTTCAGCGTCTTCTCTAAAACAGCTGAACTGATTTCAACCAACTTTGGCATATAGCACCTATGGGTGAAGGGAAACAAAAATTGTGAATTTCATGGACATTTTCCCTTTGGGCCTGAGGGGTGGGGCTAAAACCACCAAAATTAATGTAATCTTAAAAAATATTCGTCTTTACCCCTGGACACAAATCAGTCAAATTGTGCCCAGGATGATAATATGCAATGAACTCTCTACCACCATGATGGTTTTCATGGACCTTAGATCAGCAAACCTTGTGTTATGACATTCTTTATTGATTCCATAGTGAAATTGATTCTTTGATAATCTTTTTCTCTGCTCCAGGGTAAATAAAATAACTAAGTACATAGTTGTAATGAGTAAGAGTTCATCTTCCAAAATTGTGAATTTCATGGCCCCTGGGCTAGGGGTTCTGATGTTAGGGCAGGATCTAATGATTAACAGTGCCTCTTCAACAATTATAAATTTCATGTCTTTGGGGTCAAGGCTTTAGGTCTTGATTATATAATGAAAATGCATTAATTTTTTTTCAAAGATTCTTCTCTGCTCCTGAATAGTAAATAAACTAAGTGATAGTTGGGAGAAATAAGAGTTCCTCTTCAAAAATTTATGATTTTCATGTTGCCTAGGTCAGGGAATCTGGTGTGAGGGATGGGTACGGGGAGGGTCTTTTTTATTATATTGTGAAATTGCATTAAGTTTTTTATTATATTGTGAAATAGCATTAAATCATCTTCTCTGCTCCTGGGCATTAGATAAATTAACTAAGTATATCTTTATTATGAAAATGGCTGCATCTTCAGAAATAATGAACAACATATTTATTCTGCTCCTGGTTATAAAGCAAAATATATCTAAAAAAAAACCAACAAGTGTATAGTTTTGATGTGGAAGGGTGATTTATCCAGCATTATGATTTTCAAAGCCCCTGAGTCAGATGTTCTGGCATAAGATTGAGGCTTTATTATTTCTATTAAACAAACATCCGGTAAAAAAAGAACAAAAGTACGATACTTATGATTAACAGCTTCAAAAACTTGAAAACCCCAAATTTTGTTAAAACTTTATTAAAAATGCAAAATTTTGAATTCTGTTAAGAGGGCTAAAAAGCAACTTCAGGTAATGGAAAAAAATTCATTCAACCCTTAAATAACTGATTTGGCAAAGTAAAAGATGTCCTAACTTTTTTGCCACAAAGTTATAATCCGTATATAATTTTCACCCAAAATTTAGGGTGTTGCGTTTCTATTGACTGTGAGTATATGTACGCGCGTCAACTGTATCCGCTTCTTTAAAAGATAAAAACAAAATTAAAGCACAATTTAATGATTATTGTTTCATTTTAATGTAAGTCAATCGTTAAAATACTACAGAAAACTCAGAAAATAAATCTCTAATAACAATGTTATGGAACAATTTTCAGGGATCTTTACAGGAATCAGATAACCACAGTGGGAGACAAGGCCTTCAACGGTTTGTCAAAATTAAAGACACTGTAAGTATATAAAGATATAACAATGACAGTCTGTTTTGAGAGGATATCATATATTCAATAAATGTATTGAATAAAATGGAAAGCTCTTACAAATGAATTTCATAATTAAAAATATAAATTAATGTTTTACTGATATGATAACTAATATATTTCATCTGTAATATCTTTATTTTCCAGGGATCTGCGAAGGAATAAAATTACCACGTTGGAAGATAATGCCTTCGACGGTTTGGCAAATTTAGAGACACTGTAAGTATATCAAAAATATAGTAATGAGAGTCAACATATCATATTCAATCAAATTATTGAAAAGAAACATTGGAGAACTCTATAAACAATAAATATTACAAATTAGAATAATAAAGCTTGAAATTCTGATTTAATAGCCGACTGTTTTGAAATAAGAATTGACATTTTTTCTTTTTTAATATTGCAAATGTCAGTAAGTAGGACATTCACCTTTACATTTTTGCACAATTTCATGTTAAATATACCTTAAGCAAAGTTGAAAGAACAGTATACTAAGAAATTCACATATAAATATCGCCCACCTTTTAAAGGATCAAAATGGATAAAAGTGGCATAAATTCAAACCGATTAGCAGCGTACATGTATATCTTAAAACATAAAAAAATCTTTAAAAAAAAATATTTTTCTTTCGATTGATCCTTAATTATAAGTAAAAAAAAGGTTGTAGACCGACTTGAAGTTGAAGTTATTAGAAATATAACCAATAAATTAACGAGGTCACACAATTAACATTATTGAGTTCAAAAGGTCAGGCTTTTCTTTGTGTGTAATATATGTACATGTAACACTGATTGCAATAAATATACTAAGGTACTGTGAGCACAAAGCTCACTAATTGATATCCCCCGCCTCAAATATGATTATAATAACAAAGTCGATGTTATGCTCTCGGAGACCCAAAATAAATGTGAGATCAAAAAGTAAAACAGAAGGTTCTCAATGGCATAATGTAAATAAGAATCTGTGAAAGTATCATTTAATTTTATCCAGTGCCATAAGAGGAATTGTGGGTAAGAAATGGATAACCTTCAATATTATACAAAGAATGACAGTTTCCATGTTTTGCTATGGAAAACCCGAAATTTGTGTCCGATTAAAAAGTAAAATAGGAGGTCACAGTAGCACTATGAAATAATGATTCTGTGATAATCTTATTAAATTTCATTCATTGGTATAAGAGGGGTAGCAGATAACCCAAGCATAACAGCTAGGCGGGAGGACGGACGGACACATTATATAACTATATACTCCATGCCTGCGAGCGGTAGGTATGATAAATAAATAAATGAAATAAAAAATAACGATAAAATAAATAAATAATAGTAACAAATATATAAATAAATGAATGAATAAATGAAATAAAAAATAATAAAACAAAATTATATCTAAATTTAAAAAATCGAAAAACAAAATAAAAAAAATTTATTAATATTAATTTACAACAACAGATAAAAAAAATAAATTGATACATAAAAAAGCAGATAATACATTAAGAGGGCAATAACACGACCCTTGGTAATATAAAGTGGAATCAGGTGCCTAGGAGAAGTAAGCATCCCCTGTTGACCTGACACACTCACCGTGAGTCCTGTGTGTTGATCAGATAGAAGGGACATATCGTAATCGAATACAGTATAAACAAAGACATAACAATGAGTCTGAAACACGTCAACTATAATATGACCCAATTATTGGTTATATTTGCTAACAAAGTCATTATAACGACAATGAAATTCATGAAATGCTGAGTTTAAACCAGGTTGGTGAAATTTCGTTAATATTATCTTGTCTAGGAAGCTTGACTCGGTATAAAATCGATCGAATTAGTAATATGTTCTTGAGTATGAAATAAGTTGGGAGATGTACATGTAAACACCATATATAGGAGATAAAACTACATAAAAAAGGAAATATGACGACGGAAAAGCTGTTTCATCTCTTTTGTCATACAATTAAGTTGTTACTTGCACTTATCGTCTACAGTCATTACAACATCTAAATATGAAACATATGCCAGACTATGTGGTGTCTTTCATTTCACTAGGATATTTTGTGTCGTACTATGAAGTGTTACTAAATGTTGCTAACTGATAATACGTCGTCGGTTTTCTGTAGGTGTACAGATATCTATTTTCAAAAAAATGGATACATGTATGTAGGGATTAGCGTAACCATTAATTACTGATACAGATGTTTTACAGTGCATTGTATTCATTTATGAAAAATTAAGAGTGTTCATGAATTAAAGTATCGTTGTTTGTGACGAGGACGTTAAAACATAAAACCTGCGTTTTTGTCCATATATTGTACCTAAATGTCAGGTTGATGATTACAGAACGAGTTCTTCTCCTGTTGAAGTTTTTGAATTAATTCTACTTTATAGAAACAGGTCGGCTAATAAAAGATCATAATTAATACCCATCGTTATGCCAACATTTTGATGGAAGATCTGTGACCGAAGACAACATAAAAGTTCTCAAAAGGAACTCCAGTATCGTTTTGATATCACGTTTAGGAGTTTTTTGTCCAATGAATCTAACAATATGTTCCTACATGTAACACAAAATTTCCTAAAATTGAAACAGCAATGTTCCTGCCATCTTGATGCTATTTCTTTTGAAGCATATGTCGTGAGTTCTTTTTGGATTTTGTAGAATTGAGAAGGAAAACCGATATCAATCAGAAATAACAAATAAGTTTATTAACACAAATTTAAAAAAAAAAAACAAAAAAACAAATTATATTCAATAACACTCACTCACTCTCACTTACCAGCTCACACACCTGAAATGAAAAAGATATGAACTGTTTCGCCAAATCTGATACTTTACATAATTACAATTGCTATTATTATAACAAAGTTGTTTCAATTTGTATCAGATCTTAAATCAAATAATAATTCACTGAATTAAACTGCCTTTTAAAATTGATAATCAGAGAAAGCTCAATGGACTTTCAATAAGAATGAAATATAAATTCAAATGAAAACGTGTTCTTTTATATAACACTGAAAGTTACTCAAAGTAGCAATTCACAACTTGATGTCAACCACGTGTCCCAGAAATTACACCACTGCGCTCTCGCCCACACACGTCTAGGTCCCTTCAAGTTCCGTGGTCCTCAAATATTAGTCCCTTAACCGCAGAGCCCCGGGTCTTAGCCTCCCGCTCCGGTTATACTACCACGCCCTCCACATATGTTGACATTGGATATGACGCATGTGGCCCTCCATACAACACTCGTCAATAAGCCTCACACCTCTAGCGCTCGTCAACTGACCCTCAGTAGGCCCATAGATCAATAACTCGTCTCCAAACCCCTCACGCACTTAAATTAATTTATATTTACAAAAACCTAACCTAAAATACAGCTGAAACTGTAAATTTATAACAGCAAACCAACGAATATATTATCCGAACACTCTTACCGGCTAGAACTGTACAAACACACTGCAATAATCCTCCTGGCAAATTATATGGCTACCCGTTAAATGTACAGTGCTATATCTCACTGAACATCTTTGCCACTTGTATTATCATGCCGGGGAAACTGCAAACGTGGCACACCTGGTCACGCCTGGACACCAGACAAGTTCTCACTAAACTCACCAAACCGACCCCCTTATATACTAGTGACCAAACAGTCTCATAAGAATGGAACCCCGTTTGAACAAAATTTAAATAATATATACAGAAATAAAACAACCTCTTCACAGCATAACATATTATTAGGAATATCTTTGCTTTGTCAACATTTATGCAAACTTAATTAATGATGAAATTTATTATTCTTTATTTATTTTTGTTGCTTTCATATTGCGATGGTTAAGAGTGATTTTCTTTCAAGATTTACAAAGGCCAAAAGAACATACACTTCTCTTATAAATCATGGTATAATAAAAGTTTCATATGAAATTTGAAGTTAACCAACAGTAATCATGAATTAAAATCAAAGTGAATATTAACCTAAATTGTAAGTAGAGCTAACAGAGGCTGAGCATAAGTTCTTTTTAACTTAATATTTCATTTATAATTGGTGTGGTTAAGCTCTTCAACTGAAATGGCATTTGAACAATTAATATTTTATTCATCAACAAGCAAAATGTACAAGACATACTAGCTGAGATCCTTCATATACTTGTTCCTTCAACATAAAGTGCACCGTCACGGTAGTTCAGTTGGTAGAGCGCTCACCCTGTGATTGGAAGGTCGTGTGTTCGAATCACGACCGCAACTGGCTTAATGCAATAGAAAATAGGTAGTAATTGATCCTTAGCCAAGCGCGCTCGGCACTCTGAAGTAAAAATTGCAGGTCCTCCGGATGAGACATTTAAACCAAGAACTTGTATCACGGTAGGCGTTTGAACGATCAAGAACAGTGACAGCTCAATGGCCCTGAGTACCTAGTAAAGGTCTTAATCTGAAGCTGTTCAACTTTTTATGTTAACATGCACTAAATCTCATACTTGTAAAATTGTCTGGATATTCTGTTTATTTCTTTGGATTTTGATGGCAATAATTTGAATGCTTATATCAAAAATACTCGATTAAATAATTTCAAAAATCTGTTTCAGACGGCTGAGCTCCACCAAGATAGCTACAATTCAAAACAACACCTTTAATAGTTTGCAAAATTTAAAAATACTGTAAGTATTTTGTAGCTGCATCAGTTATCTAAGCATCAGATTAAAAAAAAAATATGAGGTGTGCATAAGGTTTCAGGAATTAACGAGATCAAAGACAATTTACTTTCTTCACACTCTTTAGAGATCCGCCAATATTTGAAAACCCAAAGTCAGTGATGAACATAAATGATAAAAACTGTTAGTAGAGTTCTATTTGCTTGACTCATACATTCTACTGAATACTACAAGAACCAGAAAATAATGAGCTTATTGTTTGATGTGTGACTCATGCATATACCAAACCGATTTCTCCCTTTATATTTCTTTGAAACACTGGACAGCAAATTCCGGTTTATATAAATTTCAAACTATACTGAGTTTGAAATCATTTGTCTTCTGGGTCAGTAAGTAAAAACGTGTCTTTTAGCTTAGCTGGGGTGGATTGAAAATGAATTTCAAGCAAGAACTTTAATCCAATATTTTCTCAGAAGTCCGTGTTGAATTGTACCGCCCATTTCATGAGTTATCATTATGGTTTTGAACATATTTTATTGACAATATGTCAAATGGATTGGACACAAGTTCCAAAAACTTAGATAGTCCTTTCCCATATTATTATTATCATTAAATGGTTGGACTGTAACAGCCCTAACAAAAAATACTATAGTTAACTTTAGTTAACTATAGTTTACTATAGTTAACTATAGTGATAACTTTGACACTTTGAAAAACTTTGACGAAAACTTTGACACTTTGAAAAACTTTGATGAAAACTTTGACACTTTGAAAAACTTTGGCGAAAGCTTTGACACTTGAAAAACTTTGACGAAAACTTTGACACTTTGAAAAACTTTGGCGAAAACTTTGGCACTTTGAAAAACTTTGACGAAAACTTTGACACTTTGAAAAACTTTGACGAAAACTTTGACACTTTGAAAAACTTTGGCGAAAACTTTGACACTTTGAAAAACTTTGACGAAAACTTTGACACTTTGAAAAACTTTGGCGAAAACTTTGACACTTTCAAAAACTTTGACGAAAACTTTGACACTTTCAAAAACTTTGACGAAAACTTTGACACTTTGATTTACTATAGTTAACTATAGTAAACTATAGTTAACTATAGTGTTTTTTTGTTAGGGAGATGGAAATGACATCTTTTAAAACTTGCCAGTAAATGTTCCGCATTGTTGCTTTTTCCAACTGTGTGAATTTCATAGCCCCTAGGTCAGGGGTTTTGTGGTAGGGCGAGGCTCTATTCATTATATAGAAAACATGCATTAATCCTTTGAAAATTTTAACTCATTCTTGGTATTATATAAACAAACATAGTTGTGATGCACAAGGATGCTTTTCTCCAAAATTGTAAAACTCATAGCCCTTTCATAAGCAAGGATATTTTCGCCAGCATTTTAACACCAGGACCATTTTGTCAAGTGTTCTGGTCCTAGCAAGAGCTCTATTTATTCACCTTTTGCCATGTGCTTTTGATAATTGATCATTGTAAATAATGCATTTGAATGTTTTTAGAATAAGAGAATTATCATAATGCAAAAATATTAATTGTATAATGCAAAAAGTTCTTTCATAGTTTTGATGAACACGTAGACTTGCAAATAATAAATAAAAATGAGACAAAAATAACTTAAATGTTCTCCAAAGACCAAGAGAAGCCAATGTGTAAGGTCACAATACGGGGATTAAAAAAAGTACAGAAGAACTAACAGTTTCCTAATAGTCTGCATGGTGAAAGTACTTAATGGGAGATTAGACTTCAATGTTTTAGTTGTTAAAGCAATATGAGCTGCAACTTTGAGAATTTTATTTTGCTTGTAAAATGTGTAATTTTAATTAATCTGTATATAATCTAATCCCTTATGATCAATAAGGCCAAAATAAAGTTTAAAAATATTTCAGAAGAAATATTTCTGTACAACCCAATATTCAGTATAATATAAGAAATCATTATTGTACAGGACGACAATTATTCAATTTTGTTTCAATCCAAGCTTATAAAAAGTTCTTCAAACGCAAATATGAACAACAGGAAGTTTATTAACGTTCTATTTTACTGTCATTGAAATAGTTAATTACGAATTTCAAATATTTTTTCCGATGTCAAACATGCAGCTCATATTGCTTTAATAAATACTACAAAAATTATTTAATTGATCCTAGCTATCCCATTTCTCTTGCTTTTGGGCAACAAAACTTTATCATTCTATCATTCTATTTTCTATTTTATGGATCCTTTAAATTGTAGTATTATACTTAGGTGACCATTAAGGCCCTTGGAAATTTTGTTAGTTTTTTACTGATATCTCTGGGATTAATCATTTCTCTTTTTATGGTATGTGAATAAGATAGTGCAGCAGTTAAGAAATATGTAGTCAAGGTCAGGTGCAAGATATATTCAGTCACACATCGTTATCTCGAATTCGATGGGAGCATACATTTCGATATATCCAAGGATTCGAGATATTCAGGGTGAAATACCTAAAAACCAAATCCAGACCTATACGCGGCACAATACGGTCATTAAGCAGTGAGGGATCTTGACGGTTTGGCAAAATTGGCGATACTGTTAAGTATGAAACCTATAACGACCAGTATTCAAGCTCAAAAGTCCATAAAACACGCAGCATTGTTGAGGCTGAAAAAAGTACGCGGGGCCTAATTTATACGGGAAAGGTTTCCTGTGACGTCACACAAAAATATGACTTTTGTGTATTCATAATACCAGAAAATGAAATAATCTGCAAATCGGAACTGTATTAGCATGATAAACATCAAAATAACTAATCAATGCATAAAAAAATGCTAGTTAAATCCCTTACAGCTGGTTTTAAACAAAGCACTTATCTCGATGAACTTGTCAATCATGACGTCATTTTGGTAAAAATGACGTATTTCAAGTGCTGTGCAAGGCAGTTTGAGGAAATTTTAACAATGAAAATGCGTTTTTTTATAAAACTGAATATGATTTACAGGTTTCAAATAGACTATTAACACCAAGGTATATACTTTGTTTAGCGCGATTATTCATTAACTATCGAGAGAATGTATTTAAATAATTTTGTCGTGTTTTTATATTCAGGTTAGGTATATTTTACATCGAGGTGCTTCATTAAATCGTTCTTTCGCAAGGGCATACACTAAATTTATCTTAACCATTTTTTGGAATATAAATAAAGGATATGTTTCTTAACTTGACGCGACCTGCGTTAGAAGCTAAAGCCAAAAGGTTTTAAGATGAGACCTTAAAACCCCTTAAAACCGTTTAACGAGCTCGAGAGGCGTTTGCACGATAAATAACCTTCACTGCTCACTGCTCAGTGGCCATGAGTTGTTAAGTATAGTATTTGAAGCCTTTCACTCGTATATGGACACCTCAATACGAGAGAAAAATACTAGAATGGGGTTTAAAAGATATTCAATCAATCAAACATAAAAAACAATTACATGTAATTATCGAGATCATACGATTAATAGGTCGATTATAATTCGAAAAGGTCCGGCTTTTTCTCCGTGTGAATGTATATGTAACACTGATTGCAATAAATAAACTAGAGGTACTGTGAGCACTGAGCTCAATAAATGATAACCCCGCCTACAATATATTTATAATGGTCCATGTTTTGCTCTCAAAGACCCGAAAAAATATTAAAAAAAAAAAAAAAAAGTAAAATAGGAGGTGCACAAATTGCACTATAAAGAATATGAGAAAGTATCATTTAGTTTTATTCAATGGTACAGGAGATGCTGCGTATAAGAGATGGGTATTCTTTAATATAATAGAAAGAAAGTGTCAAGATTTTGATATCAGAATCCCAAAGGTTTTGTCCTATTAAAAGTTAAATAGAAGGTCACAATGGCACTATAAAACAAAGATGCTGTGAAAGTCTCATTAAATTTCATTTCGTGGAATAATAGGAATAGCGGATAAAAGCTGGGTATCCCAAAGTGTAACAGACGGACGGATGTACAGACACACGGACGGACACCCCATTATTATATTCCCCATTGTTTTTCAAGCAAGAGGTATATAAATAAATAAATGAAAGAAAAATAAAGATACAGTGAATAATAATAATAATAATAATATGAATTAATGAAGGAAGGTCTTTTTATAAGAAAAACCCTAGTTCTAACTCTTCAGCAGTTATGACCAGGGTTAAAGTTTCTAAAAAGTGTGTTAACTCTTAGGTCAAGGTCGAAAGGTAAAAAAAATTTATATCCTCTTAAGGTCTTGTCATCATGAATTCTTATGTGAAGTATGAAAGCCCTAGTTCCAACTTTTCAAAAGCTATGGCTAAGGTTTAAGTGTGGTTATTTTTATTTGTCAAACTCCAAGGTCAAGGTTAAAAGGTCAAATTTGGTGGTACTCAAAGATAGATCTTGTCACAAGGGATACACCCGTACTATATGAAAACCATAGCCCTACCTACTAAATTTTGGGCTAGGTTAATGTTGACACGGACAAAAAGAGACAAACATACAGACAGACAGAACCAAAAACAATATACCCCCGAAAACTTTCTATCCGTGGGCATAATTAATATAAATAAAGAAAAACAGATAAATAAAAAAAAAATGAATTGACAAATAAATAAACAAATAAATGGATAAATTAATCAAAAGATATTATGAGAATAAAGAAAAACAAAATTGTTGAAAGCAAAAAATTCATTTAAATTCAAGCGGTTAGCAGATTACAATTTGTATTTTCAAATCACACATTTACAGTTCATGAGCGTTTTTTTTTATTTGTTATTGACACCGTGTACGCACTACTTACAGTATGCTATGCATGGACATTAGCTATAGAATGGTTAACAAAACATTGCAATGTGTTTATTGTCTATGATAGGAGTAATTTACAATTAAACAAAAAATAATAATAAATTTCTTTGGTAGTTCCATCTTTCTAGAAAAAAATCCATATGACAAATTAGTTTTAAAAAGCTATTAATGCACATGTATATAATCTCAGGTAATGACAAGTTAAATTATATTATGTCTAA